GCAAGTCCCGGTACTTCCGAACGGAAGCGGGAGAGCAAGGGACGTCTATGTCGGCAGCTTGTGGCAAAAGAAGATCAGCGAAAATCCGTGATTTCTCTCCACCATGATGTAACTCGAATGGTGTGACGCAGATCGCCGGGTGCACCAAAGTGTTATAGGCGAACTCGATGTCAGGAAGCCGGTCAACCCAATCTTTCTGGTCGGGACGGATGAGCGTACGCAACATCATCTGAGCGGTCTGGTGCGCTCGCTCCGTCTGGCCATCCGTCTGCGGGTGCCGAGCCGAGCTCGGCTTCATTGTCGTACCGGACTCAGCCATGAGGGGAGTCCAAAAGGCCGACATGAAGCGAGTATCTCGGTCGCTCACTAGTCTTCCGAAACACCCTGGTTGGTAATCCAACCGGTGTGCAAGAGTCGTGCGAGCTCAGGCGCTGCAGCATGATACTTGCAAGGAAGGAAGCGAGCATACTTGCTCAAACGGTCAACGACCGTGAGAATACCRTCATGGCCGTGKCGATCGCGGGGAAACGGGCCTGTCACGTCCATAGCAATGGAGAGGCGTGGTGCCCGAGGAATCGGCAACGGTTTCAGTTCGCCGAAGGGGACCCGAGATCGACCCTTGTTACGGTGGSAAACTGCACATGACTCAATGTACCTCGTGACGTCATGAAGGACGTCGGGACAGTGAAAACGCTGGCGGAGGCGTGCTAATGTGCGGTTCACTCCAAGGTGTGCCGAAAGTCGTGCATCGTGGAATTCGCCGAGAAGACGAGTCCGTAAGATGCGATCTTGGGGAACAACTAGCAAGTCCTTTCCTCTCGTGTGAAGGAGAAGGAACCCGTCGGAAATCGGATAGTGGCTAGCAGGCGGGTGATCCGATGAAAGCTTCGCGTAAAGCGTAGAGTAAGTCGGATCAGACTTGTAGCCTTTGATGAAATGCGGCTGCAGATCGTCATCGAGATCGAATGTCGTGGTCACAATGGCACAAAAGTCGTGCCGTCGCGAGAGGGCGTCCGTAGCTCGATTGGCGGGACCGGGAATGTGGCACGGGTCAAAGTCGAACTGGTCGATGTAATACATCCATCGACCGATCGTACTAGTGACCGTATCCTGCGTTTTGTAAAAGGTCAACGGATTGTTGTCCGTATTCCATTTAAAACGCCGACGACCGAGAAGAAAGTGGCGCCACCGTTTGAGAACGGTGACGAACGCGAGTAGCTCTTTCTTCCGAGCGTCGTCGAGAGTGTTTACGAGAGACACCTTTTGGGAGAAGTACTCGACCGGATGCCAACCGTCCTCGTGACACTGTTCCAACACCGCACCAATACCGTATCCCGAAGCGTCCGGGCTGCGTCGTCGAACTCGAAGGGCACCTTCGGGACTGAAGTCTCGACAAAGGAGCGGCCACTTTCGAGTATGACTCGACAAATCGCTGATAGTATCCAGCCAAACCCATGAAAGAGCGTACATCCGTCGTACAACGGGGTTCCGGCCAATCCACGATGGCTTGGATCTTGTCCTCTAAGGGACGAATGCCTTTCGGCGTGACAAAATGACCCAAGTACTCAAGCTCTTGCTTGGCGAATTCGCACTTGTCGAGATTCGCTTTGTACTTGGCTAGTCGCAAACGATCCAGAACAACGCGAAGGTGTACGATGTGCTCGTCCAACGTCCTATTGTAAACCAAGATGTCATCAAGGTAGATGAGGACGCTGCGATCGAGCAAGTCGTGAAACTTAGTCGTCATTGCTGCTTGGAAAGTCGCGGGGGCATTGGTGAGGCCAAAAGGCATGACAACCCACTCAAAATGCCCGTACCGCGTCTTGAATGCGGTCTTGTACCGGTCTTGAGGCTGGATTTCAATCTGGTGGTAACCTGACTTCAAGTCCAACTTCGAGAAGTACGTCGCGCCGCCTAACCGCCCAAGAAGATCATCAATCCGAGGGAGAGGGCCGACGTTCTTTACGGTTTGTGCGTTAAGTTTCCGATAATCGATGCATAACCGTAGATCTTTGTTCTTCTTCCGGACGACGAGAACAGGGGCACCGTATGGTGAGCAACTAGGGCGAATCCAACCCTTGTCGAGAAGGTCATCGAGTTGTGCGCGAAGCACATCGAGTTCCTCTTCACTCATGCGGTAGATACATCCACGCGGAGGGACGGCGCCAGCCTCGAGAGTGATCCCGTGACTTATGGGCCGATCTGGAACCGTTCCGGTGGGAGCCTCGAAGACGTCTCTATACTCGTCCAAGAGATGAGAAATGCGTGGGTCCGGCCGTGACGCGACTGGTCCGTCCGGCGAGGGGAGAGCATGCAAGAATACAAGGCCCATCTCCTCGACGTCATTCCGAGCAATGGCGCCGTGAATTCTCGCAATGAAAACCACGTTGCAAGCAATCGAAGTGTGAGGGGTCGCGACCGTACATGGGACTAACACTCCGTTCCGATCACGGATGTGAACGGTTCGGTCCTGAAAGTTCACCAGATGATCGGTGCTACGCAACCAAGACATGCCTAGAATCATGTCGAACTTGGTGTCGAGGATGTCAAAAGACACCGGCTCGCACGCAAGTGGCGCAAAGTATACCGGCACGCCGTCGACGCATCGGTTTGCGTGCGGTCGTCCGCGAGTGTGACTTGCGTGGGTTGCGTCTTCCTTCGAACGCGCGGGCCAAGGCCTGCGCGGGCCATAAAGGCTTGGCTCATAAAGTTTTGAGACGCTCCGCAATCAATCAAGGCACTACAGGTTGCCTTTCCGATGTGAATGCGCATATAGAGCAAAGGCGCGTCGGTTTCGGCGTACCTTTGGGTGGCGTACTCGCGGTCAATCTTCGCAAGATAGGAGCGGAGATTGACAACCGCTACTCCGTCGTCCGTCAACGGAGCTGGTACTGTAGTGTGCAAATAGGAGCGTAAATCTGCCATCAAGGCGTTGCAATGCGGCCTTGGCAAGGTTCCGGTCGAGGGTAGAGGCATCCAAGCGAAGTCCTCTCTCGTGAGCGGGTCAAGCTCCTCAAGTCTTGACCACGCCGTCGAGTCCTCGGAAATCAGTGGCGAACTGACCGGATCACTTGCCGACG